TTTGTCTCCTATCTGATGATATGACTGTTACTTGGGGAAAAGTAGTATATTTTCTGAATTGGCTTGTTAAGAATGACACAAAATACCATTTCGGTCCATGTGAAACCTGTAGCGACGAATGAATTTTCTGACTTTTGTCAAAATGTTCAGTTTAAATGAGAAACATGACTGGTATGAAGTTAATACACCATTCCAAAGCCCTGTTTGTCTCCTATCTGATGATCTTACTCTAATCTTGAAGAAATTAGGATATTTTCTGAAATGGCTTGTTAAAAATGACACAAAATGCCACTTCCATCTCCGTGGGAACTGTCACAATGACTACATTTTCTCATTTTGTCAAATTGTTCAGTTTTGATATGAAACATGACTGTTATAAAGTTTATACACCATTAGAAAGCCCAATTTCTCTCCTATCTGATGATGTGACTGTTACTTGGGGAAAAGTAGTATATTTTCTGAAATGGCTTGTTAAAAATGACACAAAATGCCATTTCGGTCCATGTGAAATCTGTAGCGACAACTGAATTTTCTGACTTTTGTCAAATTGTTCAGTTTAAATGGGAAACATGACTGGTATAAAGTTTATACACCATTTTAAAGCCCTAATTGTGCCCTATCTGATGATGTGACTGTTACTTGGGGGAAAGAAGTAAATTTTCTGAACTGGCTTGTGAAAATGACACAAAATCCCATTTCCATATATGTGAAAACTGTCGCGACGACTACATTTTTTGACTTTTTCAATTTGTTCCATTTTTAATAGTCAACATGACTGGTAGCAAGTTTATACACCATTTTAAAGTCATCTTTGTCTCCTATCTGATGATCTTACTCTTATTTGAGAGAAATTAGTAAATTTTCTGAATTGGCTTGTTAAAAATGACACAAATCCCATTTCAGCCAACGTGAAACCTGTCTTGATGACTAATTTTAATGACTTTTGTCAAATTGATCTGTTTTAATAGGAGACATGACTGGTATATAGTTTATAAACCCTTTTAAAGCCCTCTTTGTCCCTTATCTGATGATGTTACTCTTATTCATGTTATTTGGGAGAAATTAGTTTATTTTCTGTGACTTGTAAAAATGACACAATTGTATAGTGTGTAATTGATATAGAAAATGAGCTTGTATGTATTTTCTTATACTAATGCTGTAATGAAACTTATTTTTTCAGTAATGATTGCATCTTTGAAAGTTGGATGAGACTGCTACAGGGGAATGCCCATATTTTAGAGCTGCATCTTGCAGTCCTGGTCTGCTATAATTAGGTACATTTCTAAGTAGTCTAGTTCTACATGTATAACTTCAAACTGAAATGGCATTTCTTGGAATCCTGAGTCTTATAATGCCTAAAAACAGTAATATAATATAAAGAACTAGTAAAGTGGTGATCACAAGGAATTACCACAGTATTGTTTTTAAACAGAAAGTAACAGGAACATCCTTTAAAAGAACACAAAAATCATGAATTGCATGATATTGAATAAGATGAACAAAAAATTGGAGATGTTTTTCTTTAATTTTCTTAAACCCTGCATAACGTTAATGCTGTTAAATTGTTTTCAGGTCACAGCACATTCTGCACTCATTCCTATCAGCTTCATATCAGCATCTACCTGAAACACATAGGATGTTTGTGGATTAAAAACATGTCACCAAGAATCTTATACTACTGTACTAGGACTTCAAAACAACATTATTTAAAAATGTGATAGATCTTGTCAAAACGATAGTATCTTAATTACATTGAGTATAAACTGATAAAGACAGCCTAAGCAAATGTGCTTTTTACATTATACAGGGACTTAAATTAAGCCACCTCAACAAGGTACAAGATTTGATGCTACCCACCTTGCACCTCACAGTGTGATCTTTGTGTAGTATCAGTTGTATTTGATGACAATTGTAGTCTTAAAATGAAATAAATGATTGATGATTTCTCTGATAAGTACATGTCTTGTGTCAGTGCTATCCAGTGAGCCTTTTATAGCATTACTTGGCCTCCTTTTTAGATTAAAAGACCAAATTATCAAAAGATTGGCATTAAATTTAAAAAAATTTGGGCCCAAATATCACAGATTGAAGTGGTGCATGGTTGTCTTCAAAATTATTTATCCCAAAGCAGGTCCATAGCCAGGATTTGCCAGGGGGTTCATTTTTTGAATAATTCAATCCAGGGGGGTTCACTTTTGAGAATTTTGGCCCAAAAATGCCCAGAATTACTTAAAAAGTGCTTAGAATGTTGAAAAACTGCATGAATTTGAAGCCGGGGGGGGGGGTGACACTAAATGTGGACACTGGCCAGGCAAGGGGAAGGGGTCGAACTCCCCCCCCCCCGCCGAAAATTATTGCAAATTCATGCACTTTTTCACCACTTTGAGCACTTTTCAAGTTAATAGTCCAAAATTGTCAATAGGGTACCCCCTGGAACACTTAGAAAGTGAACCCCCTCCTCTTAACAAAGCAAAGCCCGCAACCCGTTGATGAGATATTGGGTAAACTTTTATCATGGTCAGCTATGGGAATCACATCCCCAGTTTCCAACCTGTCCAATTCATCAATTCCCGGGAAAATACGTCATAACGCACTAGACGAAAATGCGAATAATGAATATCGTAATATCGTGAAAACAAACTGACGGCAATCGAAAATTCCGCTCGATAATGTACGTGATTTACCATATTCTATGGCCACTGAGTGCAAGAATTGGCTAGAGACTCGAGTAATACGTGATTATGTTTTTTAGCATAAATATTATCGTCATAAGTTATTAAACTTAATGATTTATAACAATAACATGATTGTTGTGGACTTAGGCCTGTTTTTGTGTTTTTCTTTCGCTTTGACATTATTTGAAAGCTAGAATTCGCAATAAATGTTGCTAAAATTAGAAGAATTAATTTTTCTTGGATTTGCGATTTTTCGTGATCTGCGCATGCGCAAGATAGGTGGCGCAATAGTACTAATCTCCATTTTGAAGATTTTTGAAGAGCTCCTACAGCCATTCCGCGGCCACCATTCTATCCGTTTCACACCCAGGTGGTAGAGCCCATGGTCAGTGCAAGAGGAGGGGACTATAATGTAGAAAATCGTTTTGATTTAGACACTAACTGAAATAATTTATCACAATAAATTGTTAAATACGGAAACAGAGACCGGTTTAAAAATGAAAAGAGAGGCAAAAAACTCTATTCATACAATGTAATTAAAACCCGGGAATTAAAAGCAATTTTAGACTGTTAGATCTTCTGTAATCAAGGTGATGTTGGTACACTTCCACCGTTAGAAAAACAAAGACTAAGACAAAGACTATATAGCAATTAATCCTTTTGTAATCATTAAATGTTAATTGTAGATTCTTATTATTTCGTTGGACAATGTTCAGACTTCTGACCAAGATTTATTCATTTATGTTTGTATTTAAAAAATAATATTTCAATCAGACATACGTTCTAATGAGTTAGAAAAATACATTTGTCCATCACCTCTCAAGAAGTTTTCAAAAGTAATCAAGTCGATTTGTTTATTTTAGTGTTTAGCATTGTTTTTCATAACTTGACGCTTCCATGAACAGAATGACTTTGAAATGAGTATTTATAATTTTAGCTTTTTTACGACATGCTTATTGTATATTTCTATATGAACGTTGTAGTTATGTGATGTAACATCGCCCCCCCCCCAAATTACAGGTATACAACTTTTGGTCGGAATACTTTAACTTGCGATTAAAAGCAATTTTAGACTGTTAGATGATCTTTTATGTAATCTAGGTGATGTTGGTAGACTTCCGCAGTTAAGAAAACAAAGACTAAGACAAAGAGAACTATAAAGCAATTAATCCTTTTGTTATCACTAAATGTTAGATTCTTTATTGGACAATATTTTGACTTCTGTCTCCGATTGTTATGCAGATATTTGTATATAATCATGTGAACAACATATTACGTGGAAATTCCCATATTCATTCTCATAATGTCTTATAGCTATTTCTAAAATGACATGCATGTAAGCCTAAATAACACGTGGACGTAATATTGCAGAACTGAGCGAAAAGAAAGGTTGAACACATCAGATTAAGATATTTTATTTTTTAAATGCACAAAGGGCAACAGTTGAAGAGCAAAAATTAAAGGCGTTGTGAAATAGATCGTGCTTTTGTATGATCCCCTTCTATAGTGCCCTACCCTTTGCATTCGTTCGACTTCACTTCTTAAAAGAGAGTTTCGTCTTCTCGTAGTATATAACTAGACTCTGCACGTAGCGTAATAGTGCCCCTATTAGCCATGTACAGGGGCGTAGCCAACTTTCAGTCGGGGGTTGGAGGGGGGTGCGATTGCCAAAAAAAACAATATCGGATTTCAGTCTGAGACAAATGGTCAAACATGAGTTTCAAAAAACTTCTAGAATTACCTTATGTAAATATTTACGTTAGCTTGTTTAATTAAGGTCTGACGTTATGAAAACAAAGTGCCATTAATTTCTGAACCGTATAATACAGTATCATCTGTTTGGTCTCGGTATATTCCAGTTTAATTTGTATTATACAAAAAATGATATGTATAATTTGTATTATACCACTTTGAAACCTGTTATAATAGAAAATGATATGCGTATAATACTGTTTAATCTGATCCTGACATAAATTATATCAGGTTAAACTGGAATATATTTTGGTTTAATCGGGTATCATTCTCTAATGATATTTGAGTCCGGATCAGATGTTATAATATTGAATGATACTTTCTGTGATATTGGATTAAACAACAAATTAAACATCAATATAAGATGTTATCACAAGTATTAATCATAGGATTTTACATAGTGCAAATTACTGCAAGATTTAGAATTGTACATCTAGGGTCTACAGAAATGAAATACGGAGAGAATACAGGAATATCCATAAATGTGCATTGCAGCTAGGCATTTACAAAATTTCGTACATTTTTTCATAAATGTGATATGTGATAAAACTTGAAAAGATAATATACAAATACCTGCAAATCAAGGCTAGTTGAGAGACAGTCATTTTCCCTGTGTATCTTAAACTTGCTCCATGGTACATATACCTTCTTTTCAGAACTACTTCCCTAAAAAATTAGAATACAAGGTATGTGAAATGACATGTCAAGGTAGTTGAGATAAGACTTTGAACTGAATAGTCTGCTGTATAATATGAGGTTATATAATGGTTCTTTCTGTATATCGTGTTTATACTCGAGTGATGTATATGAGTGAATATATTATATTCTCACGAGAGTATAAAATGCACGATATACAGAATGAACCATTATATAATCTTATTATGCCACTCTAAGTTCAATTACAGTTGATTCGAACACAATCATAACAATTAAAAGCCATAAAAATATCCCATAGCCAACTACTGATGTTGATCTCGAACCATTTATGACGTGGCTTGATTCTAGCAAATCATGCCGGAACCATTTATGACGTCACTTGATTCTAGGAAATCATGAAAATTTTCATGATTTTTTTATTCATTAGTTCCCAGAATGCACTTCTACAGTGGTATACGCTGGAGTGTATACGGAGGAGTTGTATACGATGACGATATACCACTCTACACTGTATATCGTTGTTATAGACCCATGTTATACAACTGTAATTGGACTTAGAGTGGTATAATCATTGGCATACAACAAATACTAACAGAGAAATACAGGACTGTTTTTTGTTTTTTGTTTTTTTAATTTTTATATTTCCTTTATTTCATAATGCATCATACAAACAGATACAAGGCCTGCGCCGAAGCATTATTGGCCCTGTACAGGACTGATAATACACAAAAATAGCTCCTTCCATCGAGGGGAATTTCTGCGCATCTTTCACAATTAATATTCCCCAATACATGTACATGAAAAGTAAGGGAAATATTCATTTTGAAAATCACACAAGTATTCCCTGAAAATAGAACAAACTATTTGTTTTGTTATTCAATGATGTTTTTCCGTCTGTAACAAAGGAGAAGCAATATCAAACAAGGCAATAACATGCAAAATGTCACCACCTGCAATTTGTTACAGATGCCAAATACTAAATACCAACTGCTAAATCCTGTCCACAAAAAAGTTAGAGCCTATAACAATATGTCACCACTTCTGGTTGTGACATAAAATGAAGGTAATATTCACTATTGGGTTGTGTGATGAGTGTTAAAACAGTATGATTATTATATTTATAAACTTCTTATTGAATCTGACAATTACATCACTATGAAGCATGAAGTAGATTACATAGAGTAGATATGAAGCACGAGGTTGAAGTGGAGTAAACATCATCATTATTTTTATAAATACTTACCTTATACAAGGTGGTAGGCTTCAGATTGATGAAAACATAGCTGGACAGCGGCTCTAAGAAATTGTGCCACTTAAGATGCTTCTTTTCCTGAAAACATTTTTATATGCATACCTTATCCATGAAGAAACCGAGTGGTATCCCCCATATTATGTATGATTCACCCTAACTAATAAGTGTGTCATGCAAGCACAAACTACTACATTCTGCATATGTTGTGGACAAGTTCATTCAATGTGATTCTGTCTCTTTCTTTCACTCTGAAGATTGCCAAATTCTTAAACATCGAAATGATAACTAAGTGAAAGAAAAGGTTTGTCAGAAACTGTTTGAAATGGTACAATAATGGATATAGGATAACAATATTTTTGGGAAAATTAAATCAATGGTTCGTAAGAATTAGTTGAAATAAGGTAAGAAAATGTAAACCATGTTCCTAATTTCATTTATCTATTCAAACATAATCAAAAATCACACAATATTAATGCAAAAATATATAATAAGCCTCGAAGTTACATCAGGCAAAGCAAATACGTTACCTTAAAAAGCACAAATATTTGTGAGCCCTTGCTTTCTTGAGTCAACTTGATCAGGAAACAGTCATCACTCTTTACCCTGAAAAATGAAAGAGGGCATCAAAAAAATTCCACTTACATGTTATGTTGTGTTTTTATGAAACTTGATCATTATCGAAAATACAGTAACACTTTAACAGTGAATTTAGAAAAGAAATTGAATGAGTATGTTTTACAAAAGGTCATATGTATTGGAGCATAATTACCAAGGGAAGATATTTTTCTACCTATTCATTTCACAAACAATTTTTTATCCTTGTAAATTGGCATTATTACCAAGTACATGTACTCTGACTGATTTGCTGTCAAATTGATAAGTTCCAAGAAAGTGTGTCAAGAGGACATACCACTACATGTAATAATATTTATGAAAGCATTTCAGAAAATGACTCAAATGCAGAAGATACTGCAATAAGTCCTCGTCCTACCTAATAACTGTGCTCAGGACATCAACAGTTCCTCTCACATTAACTGTGGACAGATGCAAGAGTTCTCTGAAAGATTGAACAGGTCAATATGCAGAAAAATATTTTGATCATTTATATGACATTATGCTATGACAATATTTTTAAATGTGTGAATACCACAAATCAAAAATATAACTACACAGTACAAGAATACTAACTTATTATAGAGGGCAGTTCTGGCATCTTTGATGTCAATGCATTCTACTGTAGTCTGTTTTCCTTCAGCCATATTGTAAATCAGGGGGTTCCATACTGTTCTTTATGGACCTAGAAGTAAAAGATGTCAACAAACACTTCAACTAATAATCTAGGCATATTTAATTCTGGCACTCAAGTCTTTGTGCAAACTAAAAGATGTAGACCACGAGGCTAGTATTTGATTTAAATACAATTTCAGGCTATGACCGTCCTCCACTGCTGACAATTTCTGTTGTGTCAGTCTGGGTCAAAATCTTAAATATAGTATTAATAGCGAGGAACCCTTCTGATGAAAGCAATCAAATCCAGGTGTGAAAACTACCGAAAATAACATGAATGACTCTAATTATGAACCATTCACATTTTTACAAAGACCCCCCACGAAGTGGCCTGGGATTTGTACTTTATTCCCACTTGAGGCCATTCACGTGACCTAAAGACCGCCTTTATTCCCTTATATGGTAAATCGTCAAGGTAACTATCAAGGCGTCATACGATGCGATTACGAATCGATTGTGTTTCCAAGTAATGTCTTCATGTGACATCACCGACGCATCCGCCATTGCTCTCAAGTTTGGTCTGAACGGGTAAGCGAATTTTAAAATTTCTGTCATTTTAAAGTCTGATTTGTGTATTTATAACCGGATTTCACTTCATCTTGATTATAGAAATGAGTAGAATGGTAAATTATGATTGTGCTGGATCATTATTCAGGCCAGAAGTGGTGAAAAAATCAATTTAATATGAACTTGAAGAAATTTTGATTTTGTTTCTCATGGTTTCACCTAATTCAGATGTTCTGATTGTGAATGGCTGGGCTCAGAGGCTAGTATTCTGGTCGTGCATGCGGCTGTACTGATCGTGTGGGAGCATATTAGACTAGCAATCCCTCTCGAAGTGTGTATTTCAGCAGTGCCAGAATAAATGAACGGAAAATAAAAAATAAATCACACGTTTCACATGCATTTCCAAGTAAAGTATCTAGGCCTAAAGGTGATCAGAGATCAATATAGACTTATCCTATTAATTGAGAGTAAGCTATTAATCGCACCGCATCGTCAAATTTGTATCACACTCTCCACACGACACAGTGGCCAATGTCAAACTTAATGTTCACACCCCTTTTTGCACCCCTTTATTTCTTTTTCAGTGACATCAACTACAAAAACATCATGCAGTATAGGCCTATTACAACAACAACAACAAGTGTAACAACTGCGAAGGCCAAAGTAACCGTTTCCATTAACCTATTACACTCGGAGCAATTAAGTGTAAGTTGTCACTCGTTAGTTTTTCGTGACTGAAATTCCCTACAAAATTTCCCTGTAATGAGCTTAACAATTGCCTCACTGATTCAAAAACATGAATATTTTCGAACGAAATGATAAGTGTACAAATAAATGCAGGAAATGACAAATGTCATAAATATGCCTTTCCGTCCTTTACATTTCCAGGGCACACAAGGTAATCACAAAGGTTAACAAGTCCAAAATGACACAGTACCTGAGGATCAATCCAGAATCTCCAAAGACAACTACTATGGGCAATATTGAGGAAAAACCAGTGTCTATATAGAAATCATCTACCATGGTTTAAACTGGACTTTCTGAAATTTGTTGTATATTTTTTAGCTCTATGATACCACAATATATGTGCTAAAGTTAGAAGAATTTTTTATGTCACCATGTAGAGATGGTGACATATTGATGAAGTCTGTAAAGTTTATTGTCCTATTCCTGTATTCATGCAAGTTAACAAATGCAAGTCAATGTAAAATTCTTAATTTATAACAGTTATCCATTAACCTAACAGTAAAGTAAAAGTCTACAAGCTATTTCTGATGTCATTGTTACAACAATGGATTTTACGAAAAGTAAACCTTTCAATCACCCCAGGTAAGTTCTGCATTAGAATACAGTACGGATGGGGATTTTGTCAAAGTTTTACATCTGATTTAAAACTCATAAGGCCTAGTTCAAAATGTAACATAATGTAAAGGAGCATGCATTCTCGTCCAAAACAGTATACAAGTATAAATGGGACCCCTGTGGCAATGTAACCATTTACTTTGATGCACTTCCAATTCCATTCTATCTTCGGGTCTTTGTATTTTTTCAGTGATTTTACACTGGATTTTCTTGTTGCAAAGGCGGATTTGGATAACAGCAAACCCAGGTTTTGAGCGCGCAGCTTATGCCAAAGAGTCCTTCTACATACATGTATGTCTAATCTACTCTATACATAGTGACTAGATCTACCCCTAGACTAAGTAGGGGGTGTCGAGTGCAGGCCTGTCAACTTGGGAAGTCTAACATGAGTGACTTGGAAATGTTGAACACCTCCACTAAAAATTTCGAACAAAATGCGTGACATATACGTGATTTCCGTGGAAAGTCCGAACGAAATGCGTATGGTTGTTTTCGGCGTTTGTGTTTTTGCTGTATCGGCGTACTTTTTTAGAAATTTTTCTTCAGAAATATTTTGCTTGACAATTAGATCTACCAAGTAAAATGCGTATTTGCGTGACATTTTCTGTTAAATCCCCCCCCCGTCACTGTATAGCTAATGTAAAAAAAACAGAACATCACATGCAAGTGGGAATATGCCACTTTCTCCATCTTATATTCTAGGTCTACATATTAATATTATTATGAGTTAGACGAACAGAGAATCCAATGACTCATATGCACATGTTGCCAGGTTGGCAGCAATGATTTAACAATAGATAGGCCTAGACATTGAGGAGTGAAAATGCGCGAAAAATTTCCGGATGCTAATTCAAATCTATGGATTTAATTTACAGTAACTGGTTTCAAAACTAACATAAGAACATCAAAAAATCCCATATCCATAAATGGATATAAAAAATACCCACCCTGAATTCCGAATAAGGAGTAAAAGAGAAGAAAATGTTGAACTTCAGGAAAAATAGATTTTGAAAAATGACCTTGACATTGACGGAAACGGAAGTGTGACGTCAGTGAAATAAAAGTTGTGGAAAAGATGTTGAACACATTTTAGCTGATTTATTCATCAAATGACCATGAATACCAGGAGTTTGTTGTTGTTACTATTTTGCCTTATGTGCAGCTTGTTTGTGACTGTCGCTGGACCAGTAAATCAAGAAGAAAAGGAAGTCAAACAGTCTACGACAGAGAACAAAGATTCAAATAAAAATGCACCAGATGCAATTGCAAGTGAAACAATTCCAACCACTACAAACAATGGCACAGTTTTGAAAACTACTACATTAAGACCAGAAAACTGCACTGGTAAATTTGACAATGAATCGGGAATATGCATTCCAATTTTCCCGGGTTCCTCATCCATTATGGAAATATACAAAAATAACAAAGATATGATAAAAAGAACACTTTACGTACTTCTGGGTGCGACTGGTCTCGTCATCATATATTTCATAGTAAAAACTATAAGGTTAGTACATTCATAGACTTCTAGTATACTTTTTTAAATGCTGCCCTTATAGGTTCATGTTTCTCAGTGTAAATCCTAAGGCAGCTTCAGCCACCCTTCCTACAATGTTTGACATTGCTATCTTGGGATGTCCTCTACTAATATTGAGAAGCACATGTCTGCAAAACATTTTCTAATAAATTAATCTTAATAACTTTCTTTGAAGACATGGTGATTGACACATTTACTACACGTAAATAAGTCATATTATCTGATGCAGTATCTGCACACATGACGGATGTTATGTTTGGCTGAGTTTTACAATGTAATGTAATCTATGGGATTTTAGTACATATTACCATGGGCTTTCAATAAGATATTACATACTAGATGGATACCTGGTTAGTAATCATAATCAAAGTTGTCAAAAAAATCATGGTCAATGTTGAAGTTAATTACTCCCTTTAAAGGCTGATTGAGCTAATAGAACTGTCTTTGCCCACCACCTATCAACTGCTACAATCCTGACGCTTGAAACTGAAATACTGAAATTAGCTGCTTGCTATATATCTCCAAATTTCCATTCTCCATTTGCGAAAGTCTGTAAGTTATCAGCTGCTTCTGTGCACCAATCAGGACTTCTCTTTATCGTCGAGTGTTATGTTTTCTTCCAAGAAACCAAAATGGTGGTTATGATGGAAATTTACGTTTACATTCAATATCTCTAGGAATTTCCAAATGATGTAAACAAATTACTGAACTTTTGGTAGCTCTCATGTCTGTCTTTACCATTATTAGTTTTCTGTCCTTTTCAAAAAACAGAGTTTATTGTCTTTCTTAGGAGAGAAATACCAAAACACCACACATATTCTTTCCAATGATCATTCCATTTTTTCATTGGAGTGACCAACAGAGAAGTCAATAGCTCAACTGTGTACTAACAGAAATGCCAAGAAGATTACTGTATATATGTTACAAACATGTTTAATCATAAAGAAGTTACATTAAATATGATTTAAAAAAATTGCATTGACTTGAAAAAGAAATTTTTTGACAGAGTACAAACAGAATTGTTAAATCCAATAGTTCTAACGCAAGTTAAAGCAACAAGTAATTCCACAAGGGACTTTAAAACTATCAAACTCAAGTAATTTGTAATATATCACCCGGCAGTTTGCTTGTAGCATGTCAGACAATTCAGAGTGGTATCCCATGCATCATTTGCTAAATAATTAGATCTTTTACCCATTTTTGCTCGATAATTTGATTTGCTAAAAGTTGAATAACTCTTTTATGTGTTTCATTTGATTGAGAGGATTTCAAGATCCGAAATTCCACTCTCAGGAATTAGCAAATTCGGGATTGTGTTAAATTATCAACAGATAAAAACAGCTGTGGAAAAGCAAAGTTATTTTCGTTATAGTTTGCTCCCCCTTCCCTTATATATTAGAATTTCAAAAGTTGATTTGTCTTTCACTTGCATATGCATATTAAAAAATCAACTCTCTTCACTAACAAAATAATCATTTATCTCCTCCCTTGTTAATTGAACACCAACCCTCAATCTGTATGAGCTAAATGCCACACTGAGTCAAACACCCCCTTGAGTCGAGCAATATTAATTGATATCATGTTCGATTTCTGCTTCCAGATTACGTCGCCGTAAAAGTAAAACAAGAAAATATGGTGTCTTGACAACTCGAGATCGTGACAATATGGAGATGATGCCACTAGACCAAGATGATGATGATGAAGACATGACAGTATTTGAGGTTAATGGACACCCTAAATAACATTGGTAAGTTATGGCCCCTAAATAACATTGGTAATTTACAACCCCTAAATATCATTGGTAAGTTACAACCCCTAGATAACGTTGGTAATTTACAACCCCTAAATAACATTAGTAAGTTACAACCCCTAAATAACATTGGTAAGTTACAACCCCTAAATATCATTGTTTAGTTACAACCCCTAAATAACATTGGTAAGTTATGGCCCCTAAATAGCATTGGTAATTTACAACTCCTAAATATCATTGGTAAGTTACATGCCCTAAATAACATTGGTAATTTACAACCCCTAAATAACATTGGTAAGTTACAACCCCTAAACAACATTGGTAAGTTAAAACCCCTAAATAACATTGGTAAGTTATGGCCCCTAAATAACATTGGTAATTTACAACCCCTAAATAACATTGGTAAGTTACGGCCCCTAAATAACATTGGTAATGTACAACTCCTAAATATCATTGGTAAGTTATGGCCCCTAAATAACATTGGTAATTTACAACCCCTAAATAACATTGGTAATTTACAACCCCTAAATAACATTGGTGAGTTACAACCCCTAAATAACATTGGTAAGTTACAACCCCTAAATAACATTGGTAATTTACAATAACCTTCAAATACCACTGCTAACTGACATGAAATCAAGCAACATCTTGCAATATATCAGGCCAGTAGATGTACATGATGTGGAAAAAGAGAACACTAATCAAATTAATACTGGATATAGTCTATGTGTGCATTACATATAACCATCTGTCACTTGATAACTGAAACCAATAAAAGAAGTTTATTAGTGATATATTAGTTGCATTGCACCATCATACATTTACTTAAGATGTGGGACATACAACACATAATCAATAGGTACAGTCAAACTTTAAGGGACTTGGGCTCTACATCTGATACTGCATACCCCAAATCAGAAGAATTATAGGCTGCAAATTCCATCATGGGTAGATTTGTCTTTGATGCTTTAACTTTCTTTTCTGTAAATGCTAAATGTTGAAAGTCTTCTTTCTGAAAGTAAATCAGACAGACATGTGCAAGGTGCATGTATATATCTTGATCTCACTCATCAATTTTTTATCACACCATCAGTGGGATATAGTCTTCATGATGACGTTGTATCGTGATCGCCCTGCTTTTTTGTCATCGAGATTTCAGGAAAACCGCTCATCGGATTTTCTCCAAACTCACATACATGAAAGAGGATATCAAGCTCTAGAGCTTATTAACTTTTGGGTGGCCATCTTTTTTTCTGGCAGCCATTTTGAAGGTTTTTAGATTTATCTTTTCATCATCATTTCATGAAAAGGCGTACATACATCAGGTTTTCCCGAAATATCTACACATGATAGAGGATATCAAGTTCTAGAGCTGATTAAGTTTTTGGCAGCTATCTTGTTGTCTGTTGGCCATTTTGAAATTTTTTTGATAAATCTCGTCATCGCCATTTTAGGAAAACCGCTCACCAGATTTTCTCAAAATTCACACACATGATAGATTATACCATGTTCTAGAGCTGATTAACTTTTGGTCACCATCGTGTTTTCTGGTTGCCATTTTGAAGGTTTTTCAATGGTGTGATCTGGTTCGCGTCGTGTGCCTTAAAATCAATGCATTATTAACTAAATGAGCATTTCATTGTCACTTTTTAATATTGATAGAAAAGAAGGTATTTATTAGAGTCTATTGATGGCTCAAGTTGCAGGTTATTTAGAATTGCTTTCAATTTTGTTATTTTTTGGATCAGGATTAGGCACTGCTTGACTGTTTCATTTAATTTTTTATAGTTTTATGCTGGTAATACATTCATGTCTGGTTATGAGGGTATGTTGTAATCAATACAAATTCATGTTTATTGTGAATTAAATACAATTACATGTACCAGTATCATGAGTGGAATAAAGCAGATGCATATTTTAGCTACACATCCAGTGATCCATCTCTACTGCACCCTTAGGGCCAAAAATATCAATATAACTTCACAAAACCAATTTCATTAAAGAAAAGCACTGATCATTGAGTGGGAGATAATTTTCCTCTTGCATCATAACTGCTTCAATCTAAATGGTTATTAAATGATTTTTAAATGAGTGACTTTTAACCACAGTATAACAGCCAAAAGCAAATATTATTTCTTGATTTTTTATTTACAAATACTTTTTCAAGGAAATGTTTGTTAATATCACTGAGACTAAGTAAGAATTACAAGTATTTTAACATTTTGTTTTGGATTTGGATCAAATAAGATTTGGTTCAAAGTTAATAGGTGATGACCTCCTCTCAATATGGCATGCTCAATTCAAAATGGCAACCATTTTTGAAAAAAAATTCTGCGATAACTGAAATACTAATTGACCAATTCAGTTCAATTATATGCTGATACCTAAGGACATAAAGATTGCTGCTCAAAATAGTGATAATGGAATCCTTTGAGAATAAATGAATTTGGATTTGTAGAGAGGTTGGCAGGAAGGCACTGAACTGCTCTATAAATATGAAAATAGCCAAGGCCATTATCACATTAAGAAAACGTGTGAGGTGTCTGACATTCTTAAAAACAGTACTAGCTACAGTAGAATTACTTTCCAACACAAGAAATGATGAAATTGACTCTCATTCTATTTTGACCATCGATTTTTTAACCAGGCGTATATTTCATGATGGTATTTAATGTCTGTACATGTGACCAGGTTCATTTAAGCTTGAGAATTAAGGGATTTCCCGATAATTCAGTGTGTGTTTTAACATATCACCAACATCCTGATGTAAATCAATAGACACAATCTTTACTGAAATGATAACATCATCAAAAATTATTTCCAACTTATGTTACATCAAACAGATAGCTATTTATGACTTCCTTATATCAAGTTGCAAAAAATGTTTAACATACAGTATAACTACAAACTCTTGTGGCATTTATTATTAGGAATGAAAATTAGTGTCATTATTTGCCAGTGTAGTCTCTTTGTCTAGTATTGAACCCTTAAGCGCTAAGTCAATGTATTAATACTTCATCGTGATGGCTAGAATTCTTAGAAATATTAATCAGAAGTAAATATATTTCAGTTGATACAAATTAGCATTGCTGAAATTTTTCTCGCCAATTTGTTCTTTTTAATATACAATAATGATTCATTATTACCATATTTAGACTAGCGTGGATGATAATATTTTGCATGGTTTACTTTCAATGATTGAAATTGTTTGAATTGCCTTATATGAATCCATCTCCTTTTTTACTAAAACCTTGGTTGAATATAGACTAATAAAGTTAATCATAGCTAAAGCAGCTAGAATATTTGTTGAATCATGGTTTGTCCATCTTATCTATCTAGACTATCTGTCGAAAATTCACCTTTATTGATCAAGCTAGATCTCATACTTATTAGATACTAAATCAGTAAGAAAACCTTATTCTGATATTCTCAAAGGAAAGATTTCATGTCACTGACTGGTAATGATTGTTTAAGACTTGTTTGTTAGATGATGAAGTTTTTTGGAGGGGAGCCCTTGTATTTTATTAATAATTTACAAATTACTCCATGTAGTATATATAATATACAGAAATATGTGGAGATCATTTTTGAAAAGAACAAAATCAAGAAATATATCTACAATAAGAATATAGTGTTTCATGATTCAAGCAAATAATGGTCAGAGACAGAATGTGAACTTTGACAATATGTTAGCCAAGATAAGTTGAATAAGTGAGCTAAAAGTTTGCCTTGTGGTGATTAAGCTGCCTTTAGTTGGAAAAGATGGGAATTATACATGATAACAGTGGGAAACATGACGTAGGTTTGTCTCTACTTATTGAGCTTAGACAGCCCTATTTGTTTCCAGTTGAGAGCCTTTATTCCCTATACTGTACTACATGGATTTTTCTGACCTTGAATTTATTAGTTATAGAGGTTTTGTTGAGATCCCAGTGTAGCACGTCATACAGTATATGTTTTATGTCTGGCAAAAATCACACATTGTGAAGATAAATACATTAGGCGATTTCTTTCCCGGCTGGTGAGAATCTTTTTGTAAGAGAAAAATTTTCAAGAAAATGGCTACTTAACAAAGGAAATTGCCAGGGAGAGAGCATTGGGCCTTATTTGTGATAATAGCTGGAATGAGTTTTCATTTTTGAAATATTTTTTTTCTATAAAGGGAACAATTGCTCAATTAAGTCGAAAATATAATGAGATTTTTGTTATTGATTCTCTAGCATATAGAATTAAGAATACAAAGAAAATAATCATTTTGGCCAGTATAGTTTCAGTTGGTTTCACAATTTTGCCTTTTTACTCACCAAATTTGGTCTAAAAAGTGTGAATTTTACAAATGACTTACTGCTTCACATTTTAATTTACAGTACAATAAGAACAACTTTTTTCCCTTTCCTCTTTTTATCGTGTCATCAGAGTTTCAAGAAAACCACTTATCCAGTCGTTAAACTTTTTTTTTTACAGATGCAAGAGCAGAGCAATGCCAATCAGATTAGGTTTTGGGCATGTTTCGTAAATTACATGGTGGCTATTTTCTTCTTCAAAGTGCAATATTTTTACTTTCTTCTAGTCCCAGTTTCCTGGTTCTTATTTTATTGTTCTGGATCGAAGTTGGCAGTGAACTTATTTATAGCATCATCATTAAAGTGAGAAAAAGTTCAGTTCTAGATATAGTATCTGCCATCTAAGCAAGTACATTTTGATCTATAGCTATTAACTGAATTTTGATAGACATATATTGTGTGTTTTGCTAGTTGTATATCTTTTTTCAGTAAATGTATATGTTTCATTGAACTTCTGATTTATGAATTAATTTGAGTGAACCAGATTTATATTTTCCTATTTTTCGGCAGTGTCCACTTTAAACTGCATGGTTTACTAAAACACCTGGTCCTTCGCAAATAACTGATAACTGCATCCTCTGAACACAGGCCTCCAGAACTCGTACCTCCTTCTTCCTCCTTCTTCTGGAAGAAGGAAGGAACTTTGTGGATGAT